ACGCGTGGACGATCAGGCTTTGAGGTGTATGGTATGCCCTGGACGTTAGCGCTGCATAAGATCTTGTATTGAAAAATATTATTGAAATTTATACAGACCTGGGGTTCGAACCCAGGTCTTGGACGCTAATGCCTTGGTGGTTTGCCAGCTGAGCCATGAAACATATGTTAATATATTATAAGAAACAAATAATAAAAAAAGAAACAAGTGCGTTAGTGGGTTTCTGGCGCGAATTTCAAACTGGCCTATCACGTATTGACACGATGTTGTCTTCTCCAATTTTCCTGAAAACACAAAACAAAGGCCACGGTTTCTTATGCGTGGGTTTAGACAGCTTTAGAAGAAATAGCGAATAGCGCTATGTGAATCATAAATTGTTCGCGAATGGTGGGTCTTCTTCGTCTCTCTGCACTGAGTTGGATGGCCCTGGTTTTGAGGCTTAATTTTGCCTATTTTTAAAAGCCCCAATTTTGAGCTTCGTAACCCTAGAAAAACAACAATGGCGAAATTGCATACACAGCCTAATAATCAAATTAATGGCATGGGTTAGCTTCAGAACATCATGAGGAATAAGAATCTATGCATAAATTTCACAAAGAATGCCTATAACATGATATACGATTATGAGATTTTTCCTGTACAGTTTGAATCCAATATACCAGTTCTTTGCGTTTGAATTGTTGTTTGTGATTGGAATGTGATCAGGAGGGCTTGAGGAAGCTATTGGAAAAACTTTTATGCCTTGAATCCACCTCTAATAGTGATTTCAGAATCTAGTTTTCAAGTCAAAATTTCAAGTTTTTTATGAGCTTTTGAGCGCAGCCTTTGGTGTCTTATGGTTAGGGTTTGACTTGGCCCTTATGAGGGAAGAGAATTAGCTTGTTATTTGACCTTGATTCATGCCCATGAGAGAACTAGTCCTAGGGTTTTTTCATTAACAAACTTTTCCTTCTTTTAAGCCAAGACCAAGACTTAGTGTGCAATTTAACCCTAGCCTGAGTTTTTGAGTTGGCCCATGATATATGGAAGTTGTCCAAATTCAAATGACACTATTCCATTGGTTTTTGAATTTTATTTGAATTTTTAAAGATTTAAAATGAATTAAATTATCAAAAATTAAATAAAATAGAAAAATCAATGTTTGATCTTGAAACTAATCATGGGACACGTGTGTGGCATGATAAGGCTGAATCAAGTGGAAGAAAGTGGGCCCTTTTGTCAAAAATTGAAGTTTCAAGGATAGTTGACTTTTGTCATTTCACAAAAATTTCCCAACTTCTACAAGGCATAACTTGCTCAATTTTTAAGCTTTTCACATGTTCTTGGACATTTTGGAAAGGTCTTTGAGTCCTTTAACCAATGCCTTTGGTCCCATGTCATTTTGATTTTCTAATCTCAAGTTATGGTCTTTGACTTAAAGTCCCTTTTTGTTGACTTTTGAAAATGACCTATAATGTTGAAATTGATAACTTTTTGTGAGAGCATTTCTTGGACTTGAAGTGTGAAGATGAGTTGTAGGAAATGTTTTTCTCTTCAAAATGAGCTTTGGATGGAATTTTTCTGATAATCCATGTGAAAGTTATGCCCTGGTCAATTTCAGTTGACTTTTTCAGCTGTCCAAATATAGCAACTTTTGCATCTTTGATGATTTCTGAGCCAAACTTTGAGAATCATGATCAAGCATTGATCAAGTGATGTTTGTGGCTTCAAAATGATATGTTGACCAAAAATTTGAACTTTTGACTGTCAAATGACCATTTTGCCCCTACAGTTGACTGTAGTGCAATTTAGGGTTTTGACTGTGCAATTTTGAGCTGAATGCCTTGAAACTTGATATGAGGATGCTTGACCATGTTTGTAAGCATATGAGACTTGATTGAGCCTTTGAACACTTCCTTTTCTTGATCAGACTCAAAACCCTAATTTTGACTGTTTAGGAGGCCCTTGCACTGTGCAACCCTTGGGGAATTTTGTGACTTGGCTTGGCAATTTCTTGAAGAATATGGGAGGGCAAATTTTGGGGTACAACAATGACCCAAACAATAGCCTTTTGTTTACTGTTACGTAGATATTGTCTTTTCTTCCAACTACGAGATCATGTATTTATAGTATTAATTCCCTCCAAAGGAACTAATTCCTTAATCTCCTACATTTAGAGCTGTCAAAATGGGCTACCCGACCCTAAACGAGTCGGTCCATACGGGCCCCGGGCTTTTCAGGGCCAGATCCAAAAAACCATATTTAAACGGGTTCTATTTTTACTACCCAGGCCCAGTCCTATATGAGCTACGGGTTACCCGGTCCTAAACGGACCCCGACCCTAAACGGGCCCATTTCTAAAAAATATTAAAATTTTCTCCTTATTTTTTTTAAGTAACCATGCAATTGCATGCAATAATAATACTTTATATATATATATATATATATATATATATATATATATATATATATATATATATATATATATATATATATATATATATATATATATATATATTAAATTTCATATCCAAAATTAGGATTTCAAAATAATCTATCTAAGTTAACAAATTGTTATCTTATTTGTACTAACTCTATCCTCACATAAAAATTACATCAGAGTTTTTTAAACTTCATTTCAACTACGTCATAGTATTTTTTCTATACTATCTACATAATTATATTAGGATGAAACATTTTAATTCGAAATTAAGTCAAATCAATAACTTTTGTTTGATATTTATACCTTTATAATACCAAAAAACAAATAAATTAAAATACATGATACACACATTGTTTATAACATATTTAGAATTTTATCACTTTAGACAATAAAATTGTCCATTTATACCAATTAACTATTTATACTACATGGGCTAAAAAAATAAGATATAAATATTATACCTTTGTTCACTAACACCATATCTAAAATTCCATACATAATCAATCTCAATATTTTTCTTTTGTTAATTTTTTTTTTATGAATTAGGAAAAGATGATTTTTAATTATATTAAAAATTTTATTTTTTTCGAGCTGCGGGCTACCATGGCCCATACAGGCCGACCTATATTTTTAGGGTTTTTTCGTGCCAGGCTAAAAAAGGCCCAGAAGTAAATGGGCTCGAAAAATAAGGCCCAAGCCCAAACCTTTTTTGGGCCCGATAAATCAATCCATGAACTTCAGCCCATTTTGGCAGCTCTACCTACATTGATGAGAATATGACAATGAATGAGGAATTCTCATAACTTCTCAAAAACATATATCAACACGTGAATGCTATGTTAAATTTGAGCTCGTCCATGCTATGTTAAATACTCTATAGAAATTTAGCGAATTCTAACTCTAAAGTTTTATTTGGATTGATGAAATTAGACGTGGAGCGAAACAGAATAGAATAAAATCATATTTTATTGTTTGCATAATTTAAAATCAGATAGAGCAAAACGAAATGAAATGATATAAATTTCATTCAATTCAATCACTTAGTATCATATTGCTTCCTCTCTGATTTGAACGTGATGAACAATTTAACTTATTTCATTTTAAAGTTTTCAAATAATGAAATAATATCTTAATTCTATTGTGCGCCATTCTACTCTATCTCACTCCGTCCATTCCATTCCACTATTCATTTTTTGATATCCAAACATATGATAAAAAATTGAGAAAAGTTAAAACCAAATGTAATTGTGTTGTTTGTGAGTACACCATTACTTATATGTAAAATATATTTTTCACTAAGACGACTATATGTTACACCCTTAAGGATCCACCCACGTGTTGATTCATTTTATGATAATCTAGAAACCACGAGCTCGATTTTGTTGGTCCGAGTGATCTCTAACAAACAAATCTATGTGCGAAGTGAAAGTGCCGTTTTATTTTACAAGCAAAGCATGTGCATTAGGGTAATAATAGATGTCAATGAGAGAGAAAAACTAAAACTAACATTAACATATAAATAAAAAATAAACACACACAAGAAGCCTTAGGCATCACAGCACAAAAGATATAATTCAGAAACAACACAATCGAAGAGAATAAGCAGCGGGGGAGAGAAAGAAAGAAAGAAAGAAAGAAAGAAACCCGGAATCTAGAAACAACCACCAAAACCAAAACCCTCTTTATTTTTTCCCCATATAACCACGTTTATTTCTTCGAGATCTTGTTCTTCTCCAATGTCCACTTTCTACTCCACAACTCATTCTCACACCTTCCTTTTCCCCTTTTCATCGATACCTATTCTTTTCTAGGTATCAAACACCTCTTTGATTCTCTTTTTTCCAATCAATTTTACTGTTTTTTTACAATTAGGGTTAGGTTTTTTGATTGTACTCAGCTTGTTTCTGTTGCTGGATTTTCTAGGGTTTCATTGGATCGTTACTTAATACTTGCTCCATTTGGAATTTCCGACTGATTAGGGTTGCGTGAAATGGGCACATGCTCCGATCGATTTAGAGGTTCGAATTGTGGATTTGGAATTACGGTTCTTCACTTGGAGATTGTCTATTCTTAAGATGCTCTTTAACATTGCTTATATGAGCATGGAAGAGGATTGTTTATATTAAACCAATATTAGATACCCTGAAAAGCCTGAGTTTTTTCATCTCTTGCTCTTTTGAATCTTTGTTGGGACATCATTCTGGTTTAGGGCCATCACTATAAGGAAATTCTCATACCTCCTTAATACATACTACTGTAAAGAATTTAATCCGAATCATTTAGATTTGTACTACTAGTTAGTTTGATTGAGTGATTCAATTTTCACTAGTATTAGTTTAGGGTATTTGTATATTTGGTGAAAGGAAGTAAACCCTAGTGGTTTTCCGTAATTTGTGTTTGTAGTGAGTAAGAGGCTTATGGAGGAATATTAAACATTGAAATGAATGCAGTGACATGGTGCATGGACAGGAGAATAGTTGCCGGTTCCATTGCTTTCTGGAAAAGTACTACTGGAAAGTGATTGAAGCATTCTCAGTTTGGCAGAGAGGATACACTCGGCATATCTGGATTTTGTGCAATGTCGCGGTGCTTTCCATTTCCGCCGCCAGGATATGAAGGGAAATCTAGAACAGATGATGTGGATTTGCTAAAAAAGGTTAATACAATTTTCTTGTATTACACTGTGCAAATTGTTTGACCTGTCGTTATCTGGAATGCAAAACTGGATTTCTTTGTGAGCTTGGTGTTAAATGTGCATGAATAAGGTTCATTTTTCATGTTGCAAAATTTAAGGTGAGGTTGAGGTTGCCTATGAGTCCTACATTTCATTGGATCCCATCATGGTGTAAGCTTTGAAGTACCGGTCTGTCCTGGCATTGAAATGGCTTTTAAAAATGTCAGCCATGTACTTGTGGTCTGATTTAATCATTGACTAGATTCTTGTCTTCTTCTATTTCTTCTAAATATAAGTTCAATTTAGTTAAAGATCTTTATAAACTGTTAACATGAAGCGTATGAAATGGTGACTTCAATATTTCACACACACACACACACAGAAAAAACATAAGCATGTCATAGTGTTTGATTGGGGGTTTGGGTGCAGTTGCGGTCAAATATGATTGGTTTTTTTTCCTATCTTGATCAGTCGTGATTGTGGATTCCTGATTGATGGAATTTTGTTCTTGTTACTTATATCAGTACTCATGCACGCACTTACCTGTTGTTGCCTTTATCAGGATTCATGTTAATGTTTGTTGTTTATCTCCGAATTTTGGATTTTGAACTGACGAGTTTACTAGTGGTGAACACGTGGAGGGGAATTCTACATTTGCTGGTGAAGAGACACTGATTAAAAGTTCATATAATTTCTTGTTTTTTTCACATTCCTCTAAGATTTAAATAAAATCTTCGTCTGTATGGATTGCTCCCATTTAGGTTTTGATCCCTCAAGTTTTTCTCCATTTTCTGAGATATTAATTCCTTTCTTTTTGACGAAAAATGTTAGTGATGTTAGTGAGAGGATTCAAAATCACATCGACAATGCCTTATCTCTCTAAACTTTATGTTCCTTCTCCCAAACCAACAAACCTCATTTTCACTCAATTTGGGTATCAGTTCTTATATATTTCTGCCATTTGAGAATGGTACACGGTCAAAGTGCTGATCTATCATTTATTTCAAAGTAATTTGTAATAGCATAGAACTCTTGGAGAAGAAAAATACATATTACTAAAGCCCTGTTTGTCGGTCTTACATTTTTTTTCTCCTTCTAACAGAGGTGCTGACACGCCTGGTGTAGGCTAGGGGAAGGTCAAAACATAGTGTATGATTAGATATATTAGTAATTAGTAGTCGTAAACTTATAAGCCCTATAGATGGAAAAAGAAATAGTTCACATATTCAAATATGGCGGATATATTATGCTGAGTTGAGAATGTCTGGTTATGGTGGTGGGCCATCTCTTTATGGATGATAAACTCACCCAAACAGTTGGACAAAACATGATTATGATGTAAAATAATAACATTTGGGCTTTATGGTGTGCCTTCCCATTCATAGTCTTAAGGGTAAGATATTATACTTATGGTCGGCTGTCTGGGAGTAAATCACTATAAGTGCACTAGCACTATTTGGAACTGTGTGGCTATGCTAATTTTAAAAATGGTTATCCCTGCAAATATCTTAGTGCTATTTTGCATTAAGTTGCTCCTAAATTATTTGGGTAATTCTTTGACTGAATTAATGCCCCATCCATTTATTTGGTTGGGTTATTTTAAAATTGATATAGAAGCTGCTGGACATTATTTACTTGTATGAAATTTTGCCTCCGATATAAACGGTTGGTCATCCTTTTGTTCAACAGGATATGGGTTTCTTATGTCAGTATGATATTTTTTTTTAATTGCAAGTAAACTTATTACTGTTTGCGGAGAACTTTGTCTGTCACAGTATAATTTTTTGGCAGCATAGAAGTGTATTGGCAATCATTTTCATTATTACTTTTTCTGTTTGTTTGATTATAAATTAGCAATTAGTTTTGCATACTGTATGTTATATTGATAGGGTGGAAGTTAAAAGGTCTTGATTTTTTGTTATTTTCGCTGGATCTTCAAGGACCATGTTGAGTGGGCATCATATGGATGTTATTCTCTTAGGCTGTTTTAAGAAAGGAGTGGGGATGTGAAGTTGTTTTGTTTGTTTTTTTCAATATATTTAGTTACTATTCCTAATATCTATATTTCACTATGAACTTCCAGGAAAGGCGCAGAGAAAAAAAACGTAAAAAAGAGGAAAAGGAAAAGGAGAAGAAGGAAAGAAAGGAAAATGGAGAGAAAGAAGGAAGAGATGGAAAACATAAGGATAAAAAAGACAAAAAAGAAAAAAAGAAAAAAAGGGATAAAGACAAGGACAAGGACAACGGTAAAGATAAAAGTAAAATCAGTGATCCAGACGGAAAAGGATTTCCAACTCCAGCTCAAGGTCTTAATGATGGTAATCTACATCAAAAGGAAATCAAACAAAATGACAAGGCTTTCTTGTTTGATGATAGACTTACCAAACAGTATGCCAGTTACAACGGAGAGACGTCCAGAGAGAATAATCATCAGGTTGACGAGAATAGGGACTCTAAATTCTGCATGGAGTTGGACAGGAGAATTAGGGACATTGATGGAGGAGCTGGGAATCCATTGGCTCAAAAGTTTTCAACTGCAGACTGTGGAAAGGAAGAGGAGACTGTTATGCTGGTTGCTAAGAGTGTTGGCGCTGGCAGTAGCACCTGGCCTGATGGAAAGGAGAAGTTCCAGGACAGGGGTGCCAATGCTAAAAAGATTGTTGGGAGAGGAATTCAGGCTGAGACCCGATCAATTGGAAATGCAACAGTTCAGAATCACGTTGATGGTAAAAAGATTGGCACCTGGCCTGATGGTAAGGAGAAGTTCCAGGATAAGGGTGTCGATACTAAAAAGATTGATGGGAGAGGTGATGCTCGGCCAATTGGGAATGCAACAGTTCAGAATCATGTTGATGGTAAGAAGATTGGCACCTGGCCTGATGGTAAGAAGATTGGCACCTGGCCTGATAGTAAGAAGTTCCAGGACAAGGATGTCGATAGTAAAAAGATTGATGGGAGAGGCGTCCGGATTGATGCCCGACCAATTGGGAATGCAACAGTTCAGAATCATGTTGATGGTAAAAAGATGGGCACCTGGCCTGATGGTAAGGAGAAGTTCCAGGATAAGGGAGCCGATTCTAAAAAGAATGATGGGAGAGGCATCCGGATTGAGGCCCGGCCAAATGGAAATGCAACAAATCCGAATCATGTTGATGGTAAGAAGATTGGCACCTGGCCTGATGGTAAGGAAAAGTTCCAGGATAAGGGTGTCGATTCAAATAAGATTGATGGGAGAGGCATCTGGACTGAGGCCCGACCAATTGGGAATGCAACAGTTCAGAATCATGCTGGAAACTGTCTTCCTAGGGTTGATGAAAAGCCCAGACCTTTGGAGAATAATTTTGACAAAATTTTGGAAGGAACGGAACGGGCTAAGGAAAAAAAAGATGATAAACGAGGAGATAAAAGGAAAGATGATAAAAAGGGTGATAAAAGGAAAGAAAAAGATAAGGAGAAGAAAGGGCACGGGAAGGACAAAGACAGGGATAAAGAGAAAAAAAAGGAGGAGAAAGCGAAGCAGAAGATTGAATATAGAAATGGAGAGCAGAATAAATTAAAAGACAGCAATAAAGCCAGTCCCGGGGGCCCAAATTCTTCCACACAAGTATCCAAGAACTACCATGAGAATTCTATCTTTGAGGAAAATCTCAAGAAACGGAAGGAAATTGATTCAAATGGAGTTCTACATGGTGAGTGCCATATGTAATGAATCATGTTCTTGTTGCTGGTCAATGAATCCCTATAGGTTGCCGGTAGATACATATTTTTCTTACTGCATCTAGAGTAATATTTTGATATTTCATAGTGGGGAATTTTTCAATTACAGTATTCATTTCTCTTGAGTTTGTATGCTCATTATTTTGTGGTTGGCTGACGATTTTATTATTCTTTGAATTTTCTTTCAGCCAATGACACTAGGCCCATTAAGTTGCCAAGACCCTCTTCCTCTCATCCTTTCTCTGAAACTGGGAGGACATTGGAACCTTGCCAAATTTCCCTTCAAAGTGCTTCAGATGGGCCAAGAGGCCCCATTATTGGTAAACTAGAAAACAAGGAACGGAAGAAAAATGGAATCATTGAAGCTCCAACATCTGTGGTTTCCCCAAACAAGATTCCCACTGCCATTGTGCCAGCTGATCCCGCCTCTAAAGTACCAACACCTGTGGTTTCCCCAAACAAGATTCCCACTGCTAGTGTGCTAGCTGATCCTGCCACTAAAGTATCAACATCTGTGGTTTTCCCAAACAAGGTTCCCACTGTTACTGTGCCAGCTGATCCCGTGACTAAAGTATCAACCAAACCACCCCATCCAGATATCAAGTACATAAGTCAGGTATATTCTGTACCAAAAACAAATGAGTGGTCTGATTTTGTTGACCAAGAGTGGCTGTTTGACAGCAATCATTTGCAAGAAAAAAAACCCGTGGTGAAATCTTCAGAGGTTGCGGATACACTGCAGGTATGGGCAGAAACTGTGCATATAGAGCATGCAGATGTTTTTGCTCTACCATATGTGATTCCATATTGATCATCCACGTGGCATACAAAGCTCCAAAAACATCTGCACAAAACCTCCTGTTGGCCAACCTATTTGGGAGGGGCAGCAGCCTACGGGCTAGAAATTTTTTCCACACTTGCTGATTCATTCTTTTATCATTTGCGCGCTAACTAGCCTCTACCATAAGCTGTTTGGATGGGCACTTATGTCTGGCTGAGGCTGCCTTGATCTTGAACTGATTTGAAAGAAAATTTATGCTCTACAAAGTTATTGCATAATTTGCATGCTTGGTGCATTGCTGCGGACCAAGTTGAGAGGGACAGTTCTCACTTCATGCACTATAGCAATAATTCATTCACAAAGCAGACCTCATTCAGGTTGTTGAAAAGGGATGTACAATCTTGTGCAACTTTTGTTTTGTTCCTTAAAAAATTATTTTTGCCTAGAGCTGAGCCTGGGCAGCTAGTTTTTTTCTAATTGAGAATGCGAATTTGAGAGAAATTAGATATGGTTTATGACACCCCCAACACAATTTTGATTTGTAAAATAGAACTTTTATTTACATGGGAAAAGTAATATTCGGATTAATTTATTTAACTTTCTGTAAATTTTATTATTTACTCGGGCTATAAGAAAAGTCAAGATATTGTCAAAATTTACGAGAAGTTCATCAATTTTCAGCTCTAAAATAAATGTCTTGTTAAAAAAGTGCTAGAATTAGTTTTTTATAAAGTAGGGCTGATCAACAAATTTGATCAAATGTGAGTTGCGAATCAAAGTTGGGTTGCTATATATAATGAAATAAAATTAAACTAAGCCTAATTAAGTCATCTATACTTCAAAGGCTCAGACATTAAGTTAATCCGATTAAGACTTGTATTTTAAATGTAAAAGCATTGCATCAAACAAAATGTGTTTTCATAAGTTTCTCTAGATTTATTTGAGATGATTCGGTCTTTCAAAAGTGTCTAAAATAAAAATGAGTGATCCATGTGTGATGTGAGAGACAAAATTGTGGTAGCGAATAGGATGAGCAAAGTGTGTTGAACCATACCCTCTATTTCCTTCTGGATAATCTACCAAAAACGTTCCACAAAAATTTCTTATCAACATTTTTTTAAATTAAAAAAATACATAAATAGATAAAATTATTAAAAATGAAAGCAAAACAATTATCATCATCACACACTCAAAGAAGCTAAAGTGAGAGAGAGAGAGGCTTTGTTAAACATTTAAATTAAAAATAAAATTAAACTAAACATCGATTAAAGTAGTAAGTTAAGTTTAATTGCATGTATTGAGTTTAATACGCGAGAGCCTGATAATGTTTGATTGATTCGTCCTTCATCCATTCATCATCGTCTTCAATTCAATTTCGGAATGTTGCCTTTTTGCTCAGCCACTCCGTGTTATTCCCCATCTTCTCAGGTCAATTTCTATCCATTTCTTTTCAATTTTCCATCACTTTTTTGTATGTATTTGGTAGAACACTTAGAGCAGTTAATTTTGTTGTTATTGTAGATTCCCTTATTTGGGGGACTTCAATCCTTGTGTCCAATTCGAAAAGATCTTGAGAGTAGACGTGTGGTGGAAGAAAGTTTACATTTAGGTTTGCATTATGGAACACCTTCACTTAGAAATTCATTTGCAACACAAGCTATAAAAACTGTCTCTGCATGGCAAAATTCACCACTAACAGTAAATGGAGACTATTTACTTAGTAATGGAGAAAGGTATAGTTTATCTACCGTGCCGGAGGAACTCGTAGACTTTGCAAAACAGTCAGCTCAAGATTCTGATGCATTAGTAGCATCTACACAACCAGAAGCAATACTATCAAGTACTGAATCTGTGCCTAGTTTGATTGAAGGAGGTAATGAATCGTTAGCCGCTACAAAAGCAAGTGTTGGTGACCTTGTTGCCGGAATCAATGACTCATTCAGTGCTTCTATTAGTAAAGGAGAAAATGCTTTCCGAAGCTCCGTGGATACGCTCACTAATTTTGTTGATTCCGTTGTTAAAAATGCTACTACATCTGTTGATAGTGCTTTCAGCAAGGCATTCTCTGCTGTTGATCAAACAGGGGGATTAGCGAATAAAAAAATTACTGGCTTTTCAAGTGAGATAAATGGAGTCACAGGTAAGGCACCTGGATTGGTTATTGATGTGTTGCGACGCTCAATCGTTGCGGTTGAGAGTTCTCTATCAACTGGGGCTTCCTATGTTGTTTACCTATATGGGTCGGCCAAGGAGTTCCTTCCTGCAGAGATTAGGGATACAGTCGGTGTATATGAAGATAAAGCAACACAATTCTTGAGGCCTGTTGGAGCTGGAACTCAACAGGTAATGTATTAATAGAGATTCAACACAATTCTTTACTCTCAAGGATCAATTATGTTTAATGTTTCTGAAACTCGACTTGAATAAGAATTGTCAAATGCGTCAAAAACATTTTCTATATCGGTGGCTCTTCTTTAGCTCTAGCATAAAAAGTTCATTCCTTTACATGTTTTAAATCCGGTGTTCTTGTTCTTGCTATATGGTGTTCCATTTCACAGCTATTCTAAATTTTCTAGCATATGTTGATAAATCATGTCCCATTATCAGATATACACGGCTTTCTATTCATTGGAGAAGAGTCTCGGCTTTGATCCAAACGACCCAATTATTCCATTTGTTGTTTTTGTGGGCTCTTCAACAACATTGTGGTATGAATTTATCTTTCCTCAAAAGTAAAAATTGTTATGTATCTGCATTGAAGAATTAAATTTCCATCACAATGCCATCTGTAATAGATGTCAGATATATGCAGGGCTATTTATTGGTTGTGGAAATATGGAGGTTACTCAGGAGATTTATCTCCTAAATCAGCTTTTGAGCTCTTGGCCGGGGACTCAAATGCTGTACTTATAGATGTCCGCTCTGAGGCAAGTTATGGTCAATTTTTCAGGCATTTTTAATTCGAAACAGGAGAAACAGTCATACAATTTATGAAAGTTAAGTCAATATATACTGTGTTTTGAATCTTTTGATGCTCATTCTATGTTTGTTCCACCCTCCTTTCAAACTTAAACTATGGTCTTTTGGTATTATGGATGTATCTAATCTATTTGCATTTGTTTGGCTAACTATTTTCATATCAATGTTGACCAATGAAGTTGCTGCTGCTCCTTTCCTTTATGCAGGAGTTGCGAGAAAAAGACGGTATTCCTGATATTCGACGGGCAGCTCGCTTTCGCTATGCTAGTGTAATTCCAATTGAGGTTGGTTTAGAACATGATAATACTTAAAAAATGTGACGAGTATATTTATCGTATACCTTAACTATGTTAAATGGAACAGGCCGAGAATCATGGTCATCTATTCTAAGGATTGGTAATTAATTTGTTATCTATACTGATAAAAAAACATATTATGTCGTTTTCAGGTCGATGGCTCCATACGCAAGTTGTTGAAGGGTGGTAGAGACCTGGATGACTCCTTGGTTGCTGTTGTTATTCAAAATTTGAAAATTGTTAAGGTATAGCCTTGCAACTCGAACCAGGTCTTTTGTATTGAATAAAGTTGCTTGGAAATGTGGAATAATCCCTAAACACTTAGTAAAAATTTTCTTCCATGTGATACTCTCGGATACAGTGTTTTATACAAGCCCTTCAATTTCATTCCTTTTAATTTGTTCTTATAACATTAACTTTAAGCTATTGAACCTCAAATAGTAACTGCATGTTAAAAGATATGGTTTTAGCTTCATCATTTTATGTTATTTCTGAAAGGACACTCAATGGCTTTATAAAGTGCCTTTTATTTTGTTTGTATCTTGCATGCTAGGTGAAATTCTGTGTTAAGATTGAAATATATATCCATGATTTGAAGCTTGTCTATGAATACACTTTTATTTTTACCTGATTATTTGCATCAGAAATGATATATCAGATATTTATTTTCTATGGTCTATAGGACAGTTCCAAGGTTATTGTGTTGGATGCTGATGGTACTCGTTCTAAAGGCATTGCAAGATCCTTGAAGAAAATTGGGATCAAGGCAAGTCTGTCAATAACTACTGAGATATTTGTTGCAAATTGTTAATGTGATAATGATGTTATACAACATAAATATACTGCTGCAACCCGTTGTGTTAACCATCTAACCTGCCGCATGTCCTACTGTTTACTCATTCATCTAAACACTTTTCAAACCTTATTTTCTCGCTGAAGACTGCATAACAAAATGTTTAGCTTTTTAATAGGAGATTTGGTATCTAGATAGCAAAGAATAGTTTGTACTGCTTCTATATCTGCTATAGGATCATTGAAACTTGTAATGTATTTTAAGGTTGGGGGTTTGAAGAGATTTGACATGGTGAAAAAGTAGTAGGATAATATTATTAATAATAGAGAAGAATCCAGGCAACGTTTCTCCTACTGTTTCTATGACTCAAGTCTTGATATTCTACAAAGCAGTATCTTAATCATATTACCTGATATGTATTGCACATGGTCACCTCAGTTACGAGCGTGAATGGATTTACTCATGCAAAAATGTTAATATATGTCGAGTTGCAGTTCATAATTCCCCCGCACTAGACAAGACACGTTGATGCTTTGAATTTTGGAATTGTAAATGAAAAAGGCAAAAACTAGAATTTGAGGAATTCTAGATTCCCTAATTCATGTTCAAACCAGCACTTAGTCCTTTTGTGTCAACATCAGTGCCAAACAAGTTTGATTTAAACTCGAAGACATATCCTTTATATTAGAGTGTATCTGCTTCATTGGTGGTTCATTAATAATAGACACACCCTACCCTCTGCACATCAACTTATTCATCAACCTTTGAAATTCGATTCATATTTTACAGAATCCATACTTGGTCGAAGGTGGCTTTCAGTCTTGGGTGAAACAAAGTCTCCGTATCAAGGAACTCAAACCTGAAACAGCACTTACCATACTTAATGAGGTATTTGTCAAACTATTTATGTGTATCTATATCTTTATGAATATGAACCCCGGTTCTCCATTACTAACAATTTGGGATGATTCCTCTTCTTACCCCTCCTACCATTTAAGCTAACCACCTTATCAATTCTTTATTTTTAATGCATGCAAAAACTATTAAGGAGATTTCTTCTAAAAACCATTGCATTGTAGGACCACTGTTTTAAAGCTCACACAAATGGATATATATTGGTCTTTTCATCAATGAATGTGCATTTGTACTTTCACAGGAAGCTGAAGCAATTCTAGCGGATCTTATACCTTCTCCTTGGCAACTTTTAGGTTATGGTACGGTACGTGTCAACTGTCAAGTTACTTATATGACATCTTCGTGATTTTTTCAACTTAGTTTTTTTATTTTTCATTTTGGTTGGATTCTCTTAATGCTAATGGCTAAGTAAATTGTTTAGGTTCATGCCATTTCATAACATAGTATGGAGAATACCTTAATAGGGTAAATAAAACAAGGTTTCAGTCAAGCAACTTATATTGGGAAAAGTAAAGCAGAAAAAATGAATTGATAGCACTTTCTAGTTATTTAGTTTATTTTATCGTCAACAATTATCTTACGTAAATATCTTGTTCACTTCCTCGATACCACCAAAGCATCCATTCTTGTCGTATTTTTATTTTATTTTTATTTTTAAATTTAGAAATGCTTACATTATTTTATTTGATTGTTATTATCTAATAATAAACACAACTACTTTTGATTCAGGCACTACTTGCGGGATCATATGCGTTAGTAGGTGCGTGCATGTTCTCTTCCACAAAATGTGAATTCATACATAATTGATTTCCCTTTAATACACCAGTTTAACTATTGATTTCTCTTGGGACTTGAACTACATCTATGTAACACTGTTCTATGACAGTTAGTCTTAGGGAGTAGGGGAATTTCTCCCTTTTCTGCTCAAATTGTTTTGAGAACTTACATCGTGTTTGCAAATTTATTTTGATTATGTAGCTTAAAAATAAGGCTTATTCCATTTAACATCATGCATGAGTGACTGGAGGTTTTCTATGCTTTTTTAATGAAAACCTAATGGTTTCAACCACTTGTTAACCATTCCTTTATTTGACTGTCCTGATTTGACAAAGTGCAATCATTACTATGCCAGAGTGGGAGAAAACATTGCAGTTAATTGGTGTTTTTGGCCTCAGTTTGGTATGTATATTTTCCTTTCAGCAAGTGCTTCAATTGATTATTGTTTCTTTAAAAGAATATGGTTCATATATCAACTAATGTTGGGAATAGCATGATGGGTTCAATTTTTGTATACTGGGAAATTCTCATATTCTGTCTAGCTTTAAGGTACTGGAGATTTTTCATGTCCTTATCTCCACGTATATTTTCAGACTATATATCTGCGGGTTTCTTCATATGAAAAGTCTGAAGATTTGAACCAAGATGTAAAGTAAGTAATACTCCGTGATTGATATTTTAGTCTTATAATCATTAAATTAGATAATATTTGAATAATATAGTTATTATTCAATAGTGTTGAAATACGAAAGTCTAAGAGATATTTGAATAAATCGTGTATCTGAATAACACAACGAAAGATGCATTATATTGGAGAAAATACAAATCCTAGTATTAATTACATAGATATTCTATCCTATTCTAGAATACACTAAGGAATATTCTAACGAATATTTTAGAGAATATTCTCTTTATATACATATATGATTATCAACACTCCCCCTCAAGCTTGAGCATATAAGTCAAATGCATCAAGCTTGTTACATATATAATTGGTTATGGGCTTCGAAGAGATTTTATAAACACATCTGCCAATTGATCATTCGAGTTGGCAAAGCTTGTGACAATGTCGCATGACTCGATCTTCTCTCAGACAAAGTGACAATCTCTCTCAATATGTTCGGTTCTCTCATGGAAGACCGGATTTGAAGCAATGTGCAATGCAGCTTGATTATCACAAATAAGTGTCGTTGGTCTTGCTTCTTCAATTAAAAGTTCCTTGAGCAACTGTTTTAACCAAATAAGTTCACATGTTGCCATTGCCATGGCCCCATACTCTGCCTCGACGCTTGATCTTGCAACTACATTTTGTTTCTTGCTTTTCCAGGATATAAGTTTTCCTCTAACAAGTACACAATACTCAGAGGTGGATCGTCTATCAATAGGTGACCCTGCCCAATCAGCATCAGAGTATCCAACTATCTGAGTGTGTCTTTTGTCTTCATACACAAGACCTTTTCCCGGAGCACACTTGATGCATCTTAGAATCCGGACAATAACATCCATGTGTTCCTGGCAAGGAGAATTTAAGAACTGACTTACCACACTAACTGCAAAAGAAATGTCCGGACGAGTGAATGTAAGATAATTCAACTTTCCAACCAATCTTCTATACCTTCCTGGGTCAGATAGAGGCTCCTCTTAATTGGGTAGCAGTTTGACACTTGGATCCATAGGAGTATCAACTGGTTTAGCATTCAACAACCCAGTTTCTTCCAAAATATCCATAGCATATTTCCGCTGGGAAATCACCAAACCATCTCTAGATTAGGCCACCTCAATTCCCAAGAATGTGTTTACCAAGATGTTGTCTGAAATTGATTCGAGAGACGTTGTTTTCTGGAGTATTCCTTGCTGATCACTGCCAGTTATGACAATATCATCTACATATACAATAAGATAGATACATCCTTGGGCAGAGTGACGATAAAATACAGAATGGTCAGCTTCACTACGGACCATATTAAACTGTTGTACTACAGTGTTGAATCTGTCAAACCAAGCTCTCGAAGATTGCTTAAGACCATAAAGAGACCCGTGTAGCCTACAAACCATATTCGAGGACTCCCTCTGAGCAACAAACTCAGGTGGTTGCTCCATATATACTTCCTCTTCAAGATCACCATGTAAAAAGGCATTTTTGATGTCAAGTTGATGAAGAGGCCAATGTTGAATGAATGCAATGGCTAGAAGAAGTCTAACAAATGTCATCTTGGCTACATGCAAGAAGGTATCACTATAATCCAACCCAAAAATCTGAGTGTATCTTTTGGCTATCAAACGGGCTTTAAACCGATCGATCTTACCACCTGGTCCAACTTTCATTGTATAAAGCCAACGACAACCTACTACAGATTTTCCAGGGGGTAGAGGTACCAGTTCCCAGGTACCACTGTTTTGAAGAACACACACTTTATCTATCATTACTTGCCTCCACTCAGGGTGAGAAATGTTTCACCTGGAGTGTTAGGAATAGAAATAGAAGACAAAGAAGACAAACAAGTATACTGCAAAGGGGAAAGACGATGATAACATAAATCAATATAATGTGGAAAAGGATTGCGTGTTTGACGTATACCTTTTTGAAGGGCATTCGGAAGATCAGACTCAGGTTGCAGGGTCGGATCCGATGATGGCGAAGGCGTCGGAGGAGAATCTACAATGACCTCAGGAACAAGTACTGCCTCATGGATAGGTACGACAGATGTGGGTTGGTGGCAATGATATGTTTGAAGTGGGCGAGAAGTTGAGGGGCCAACCGTAGGGTTTTCTGGTGGGTCAGGTTCCTTAGAATGATGGGGGATAATGGGAAATAGGACTTCCGGAAGAGGTGTGGGAGTACTTTCCTGAAGGGGTTTCAGAGTTACATGGCTGGACTCGAAATATGGAACAAACTCGAAGAAGATAACATTGACCGATTTGAGGTATCGTTGTAGAGTATGTGAGTAGCAACGATAACCCTTTTGGGATCGATGATAACCAAGAAAGACACACTTTAGTGATCGAGCTGATAGTTTATCAAGACCAGTGAAGAGATTGTGTACAAAACACGTATACCCGAAGACTTGAGGAGGAATTGGGTGAAGAGGATAGTTTGGAAACAAGATTGAATGATGGATTTTATTATTAAGGACATATGAGGGCATGCGATTTATGAGGTAACATGCCGTGAGCACAACATCCCCCCAAAACCGAAGAGAAACATTACCATGGAGAAGTAGGGCCCGAGTGGTTTCTACGAGATGCCGGTTTTTGCATTCAGCTATCCCGTTTTGTTGAGGTGTATGAGGACAAGATGTTTGGTGGAGAATTCCATTACTAGACATAAAAGTTTGATATTGCCGGGATAAGTACTCACGAGCATTATCACTTTAGATACGAGACATACCAAACTGAACTTTTATTTCTTTATAAATTTTTTCAAAAATAGAAAATAATTTTGATCTATTTTTCATTAAAAATAACCACGTGCAACGTGAGAAATCATCAATAAAGATGACAAAATACCTAAACTCAAGAGTAGAGACAATACGTGAGGGACCCCAAACATCGGAGTGAACTAAAGCAAAAGGGGGCGAAGCTCGTTTATTGATTCGATTGGAAAATTGACTACGAGTGTGTTTCTCTAACTGACACGACTCACAATGTAAATTAGATACCTTCAATAAACTTGACACCAACTTCTGTAGTTTTAGAAGACTAGGATGATCTAATTGAGCATAGATAGTGAGTGGAGAATCTTTGGCTGAGCATGTCTGAGATGACACTGAGAGGTAATAAAGACCTTGAGACTCACATCCGACGCCAATCGTCCGTTCCGAACTCCGATCCTGTAGGGTGACATTACTATTAGTGAAGGTGACAATACAATCAAGAGAACGAGTTAAACGACTGATTGAAAGTAAATTAAATGGACAATTAGGTACAAAGAGAACAGAAGTAATAAAGAGAAGGTAAAATTTGAACAATACCAATTCCTTCGGTTTGGGTTTAAGAACCATTGACAGAAGTTTTAATAGATAAGTAGAGAGGGAAGAGAAAAGATTTTTATTACCGGTAACATGATCAGACGCATCAGAATCAAAGACCCAAGGTCCAAGAGAAGATGATTGAGAGAGGCAAGCAGATGATTTACCAGTGTGGGAAATCGAAACAGTAGAACTTGAATTATGATAATCCTGATACCACCTGAGAAAATCATTGTAGTTTGGCGTAAAGTTCTGAGGAGTAGCCATGAGAATCTGAAGAGAGAAAATATCACACGAACCGGGTGAACAAGACTATGTTTGGACTGAATCACAATTTTCTGTGAGTGGAAAACAAAATCTGAGACCAGATCTAGAACAGTTGCACGATGGCGATTGAGGCGGTGGAAAAATCGCCAGGGTCGGAGGAGGCACAAATTTCGAAAATTGATGCCGGAATGAGTCACGGTAGTGTATGGAAGGCAAACCAGAGTTATGACACGGTGTGTCAAAAAATTTTCATCGGAAGACAGTGGGTCAACCGGGTAAAACACGACGAAGGATTGTCTCTCAGTAACTCTGGATATCTTGTTGAAATACGAAAGACTAAGAGACATTTGAATAAACTGTGCATTATATAGGAGAAAATACAAATCCTAGTATTAATTAAATAAATATTCTATCCTATTCTAGAACTAGTGGTGGAGTAATGAGCTGGAGTAATTAATATTAAATATGAATTAATATATTAAATAATATTTGTTGGAAAAAGAAAAGAAAATAATGTGATTAAAAATTATTTAGACGAAACTTTATTCAAAATTTAACGCCCAAGTGTGTATTCTATTTTAATATATTAAAGATACACTAAGGTATATTCTAAAGAATATTCTAGAGAATATTCTCTTTATATACATATACATATATGATTATATATATAATTATCAACAAATAGCAATTTATGTCTCCAGTTATCTTAATATTCAAGTCACGGTAGCTTCACACAAGCTTTTCATCTCCATGATGTGAACTATATTGGCTTATTTAGTGTGGATTGTGTTCGCTAAACTTGACATTGCATAGACACAAAATTCATCATTTCAAACGCACAAAAGGATCAAAATTGTGTGTGCCTCGATAGAGGATTTACGTAGACATAGTGTCATCCAAATCTACATGCATTTTCAATTTTGGATTTGGTTGGGTGGCACTCTTTATGTTTGCTAAAACAGAGTCATCCAAAAGCTATACCAACTCTTAAGACATAACATTTGTTATCTTGTATTTTCTTCAGTGTTACATATATCGTAACATATCAATAATACATAGAAAAATATATGATTTCAATTAGTAAATAACCACTAACAAAACTATGAGTTTGTACCCTTTCTTGGCATTGTTACTCAAGAATATATTATGAAATTTAACTGTCTTTTTCTGTTCTTTAAAGGTTGTTGCTTGCACCTGTTAAACTTGGAGGTCAGGCATTTTCATGGGCTGCTGGAAAATTGGAATCAAATGGTATAGGATTACCTACATCACCTTCATCGTTGGATGTTCAGAACCGGGTGCTACAGGCTGCTGCCAAACATGAATCCCAACCATCTGATAGTGAAGGTAACCAAGACCCAAATCCTGAATCCACAGTTACTCTCAACCAAAATGCATGAGAATATTGTTCCAGATTGTCATGTGCTAACGTGGAAACAAGAACAACAGAGATTAGTACGGTCACAACCTTAACTCACATGACTTGAAGTTTGCAAGTTGGCAGTATCCAACCTTTTCTAAACACTATGCAGCCAACACAAATATGACTGTATTTCATTATTTTTAGTGCCGCAAGTTGCAAGAATGCCACAGGTGTTTAGCACGGTTTCCACCATCAAAATAATAAGTGTAATTGTTCAATAAGTTATTATTTGCATGATGAAAATTGTACTAACAATTTGTGGAGTTGCAACTAAGAGTTTTGTAAACCATACCCTTCGAAAATTTCCTTTGATGCTTAGGTCTTCTACAAATACAATCCGTTTGCAAATGGAAAATGAGTTAGACTCATTATCCTAATGGCTAATCTAAAATAATTAGTGAAAGTTTTGTTAAGAATGACACGTAATATATTAGTAAAACATAATTCAAAATTATTAATCTGAGACCTTGTCTTTTTGTATGCCATATAATTCAATTTATTTTATTTTATTTGATAATCAATGTATTAAAGAGAGTACAAGGGGATACTCTAGCCCTCACAAACAAAACAACCACTCAAAGTTTTAGGGACTCGATAGGAGCATGAACCCAATTATATAAAGATATACTACCAATTCCTTTGTTATCTAAATTCAACCAAAACCAAGACATAAATTTGATGTTCCATACAAGGTCATCATGAACACAGAGTTCCCCTCTGAAAAGAATGACATTCCTCATATGTTCCATATGGACCATAATGTGGCCAACCAGACTAGCCCAGTCATCTTCTTTTTGACCATACCTTTCAAAGCTTGACTGAAATTATACAGTGTAATGTATCCGTCGAGATAGAAGCGTTCCTAACATTCAGCCAACCATGAATGTTCCTCCAGACTGATTTACTAACTTTACATTAGAAAAACACATGGTTAAGATCTTCCTCCTCTTCGAAACAAAACACACATACCTTGTCTCGAGCATTTGAAAGGATCCATCACTTCACTAATTGATTCTTTGTTGGAATTTTGTTTAGCATCACTCTCCATTCAAAAACTTTTACTTTTGAAGGAGTTTTGGTCTTCTAAACAGCCTGTAAAACACTTTTGACATCCATAGCCACTTCTGCCTCGACATCCTTTTCACACAAAGCCTTGTAGTAACTTTTCACAGAAAAAATACCATCACTTTTGGCCACCAAATGATCTTATCGCAAACGCCCTCCATTGGTTTAACATCTGACAGTGTGTCGTTGAACATCTTCCACTCTTTGATCAGCTGCGGTTCAACGTTGTTTAGGTCATCCGCATCCATCAACTCCCACAGTCAAACTCCATTATACATCCTGCCCATTTCCACAATGGTGCCCATAGGTTTCCTTGCTACATTATACATAGAAGGGAACAACCTTCTAAGTGGATAGTCTCCAATCCATCTGTTGTTTCAGAAAAGAATATCGTTTCCTGTGCCAAGTTTGAAAGAAATATTTCCTGCAAAACAATCAAATTGGTTAATTTTATGGATGCTAGCTCTGTGCAAATCTCTCCACCACGTAGATGATTTGTTGTTCTTCTTTGGATCAAGACCCAAGCACACTGAATGTTGAACATTTCTGTATCTTGCTTCCAAATTTTTATTCCACATGGAGTCCTCCCCTTGAACTAATATCCACTTCCATTTGTACAAAAGAACCCTATTAAACCACCCAATGTGCCTAATCCCGAGTCCGCCTTCATCTTTTGCTCTGCAAATACTGTTCCAACTCACCCAGTTAATGCATCTTTTCTCCTCATTTCCATTCCACAAGAATCTACTTTCTATTTGTATGATCTCTTTTATTATCTTGACAGGTGCGTTAAAGAAAGACATCACGTATATTGGAATGCTTGAAAGAACTGAATTCAAAAAAATTCCCCTCCCTCCTATTGACAACATCATAGCCCTCCAAGAGGGCAACTTTTTCTTTAGGCTATCCACCACCTGTTTCCATGAAGTGCACCTTCGAGGATTTGAGCCAACCGAAATACCTAAGAATTTAAAGGGTATACTATCTCTGCAGCAACATAAAAAATGTGAAGCTGTCACCATAACTTCTTCCTTCACATTGACCTTGTACACCTTGCTCTTGTGAAAATAAATTTTAAGTCCTAACATGATTTCAAATCCCCTAAGAATTGACTTCATACACCAACGATTATTCCAATTTCCTTTCCCCACCATAACAGTGTCATCTGCGAATTGCAGAAGAGAGATATCAATGTCATCATTAATCCTGTATCCTTCAAACTTTCCTATCTCCACTGCTTTCCTAAGTAAACCAGCAAGAACCTCAACTACTAAAGTAAATAGAAAAGGTGACAATGGATCACCTTGCCTAATACCTCTCTCAACTATAAAATCAGTAGTCGGGCTTCCGTTCACAAGAACTGACATAGTGCTATTGAAAATGCATGCTTCTATCCACCTGCACCACTTGTGACCAAACCCAAATTTCTGCAACATTTTCCTTATAAAACACCAGCTGACACAGTGGTAAGCTTGGTGGAAGTCCACCTTAAACATGAAGCATTCCTTTTTTTTCTTTGTAGTGTGATCAATAATTTCGTTTAACACCAAAATCCCATCTAAAATCTGCCTATGAGACAAAAGCTGTTTGGGAAGATGAAATTAACCCACCAAGAACCTCCTTGATTCTGCTAGCTAAGACTTTTGCCAAGATTTTATAGATACATCCCACCATACAAATAGGTCTTTAATCGCTAAACTCTTGCGGGTTAAAGTTCTTTGGAATTAAAGCTATGAACGAGGCTGTTATGGCTTTGGGAAGGGTAGAATTTGAGTGAGATTCCATTGCCATCAACACTATGTCCACCTCTAAAATATTCCAGAATTCCTGTATAAATTTGAAATTGAGAGACCCGTGCGTTTCTCCCCATCAAACTCCCAAACATCCAATCTCACCTCTTCGTTTGAGAATTCAGCTTCCAGAATATCTCTATCAACCCCTGATAATTAATTGAACTCCAACCCCTTAAAGAAAGGCCTTTCCCTATTATGTTCCTTGAATTTTGCCGCCACAATTTTTAGGATTTCACCTTTGATTCCATTTACATCATTAATGATGTTCCCCTTCTCATCTTTCACAGCTATAGTATTTTTCCTCCTTCTTCTTTCTTTTAACAATGCATGAAAGTATTTCGTGTTTTGATCCCCCTCTCTCAACCACCTCTGTCTCAAATTCTGCATTAAAAGGCTTTAATGCTCAAACATCTCCAGAATTCATCCGTTAGCTTCCTTTCATTGATTGTGTAAATGACTCATGTTCTGAATATCAGGCAGTTGTATCCTAAAATTTGCCCTCTCATATTTCTCAAGACATTGCAAGATTAATCTCCAAGTTGCTCAAGATTGCTCAAGAGTTGGACAGTCAAATCATCTCCTAAGGCAGTCAATCTCAAATTAGGGTTTTGTGTTGCATCAAGGTCCTTGCATCCAAATGACCTCAAGTGCTCTCCAATGTCCTAATATGTTCTCAAGTTCATCCATGTCAAATTTCAGGTCTTGCAGAGGAGGTTTGGTCAGTCAATTGCTCAAGAGGTCTAAAAATCGACTGTGCTAGGGCAAAAGTCAACAGTGACCTATAAACAGTCAAACCTCAAGATTTTTTTGTCAACATTCTCATTTTAAAGGATATTTTATCATTTGATCAAGGGTTGATCATAATTCATCAAGAATTGCTCAAGATTCATCAAGATTCAAAAGTTGCTAAATTAGGGTTTTGTAGGAAAAGTCAACTCAATTTTGACCAAGCATAACTTTCTCATACTTTATGAGAGATGACCCATCTAAAGTTCATTTTGAAGAGGATACAATTTGCTACAATCCATCTTCACACCCCAAGATCAAGAAATGCACTCACAAGAAGTTACAAATTTAGACATTATAGGTCATTTTTGAAAGTCAACAAAAACACCTTTTTTGCCAAAGCTTATAACTTGAGAATAGAATATCAAAATGAGATGAGACCAAAAGGGTTGGATAGAGGACATCTCAAGGTTTTTAAAAAGTCCAAGAACACTTTCAAAAGTTCAAAATTGAAGAAGTTATGCATTGTTGAAGTTGGGTATTTTTCCAAAATTACCAAAAGTCAACTATCCTCAAAATTTTAAATTTTGCCAAATGGGCCCACTTTTTTCCACTTGATTTGATCTTGTCACACTACACACGTGTCCTATCTTCAGCCTTGTGTCCATTTATTAATTTTTCTATTTTATTTGATTTTTATTGAATTAATTCATTTTAAATTAATTTAAATCCAAATAAAATCTAAATATTGATCAATTGGTATCTTTTTGATTGATACAGGTCTTAATTATCATTATGGACATGGTCAAACTCGTATCAAGCCATATCATGCACAAAATATTGGTTTTTGGACAAATTTGGAAGCTTTTTCATGGAGGATTAAATCAAATCTCCAAACATCAATACACAAAGATTCAAGTCCAAATATTTGACCTAATTCAATTCTCATTACTTTAACAAGCTAGAGGCACACGAATCAGAACCTAGAGGCTGCAAAATCAGAAGAACAAAACTTGAAAAAATTGCAAAAAAGCTTGAAACTGAAATATGTTTTAGAGGTGCTTTCAACACAAAATCTCAACACTATTCTCTTGCTGGACATCCACTGAGTCTGTAGCAATCAAAAGCAAGGTCATTCACCTCCTAAAATGCGCTGTAAATCCCTCTGAAAATCGCTTGGCATTTGAAATCGCATATCATTATTCTTGTATTTTTTGGCAAAATCTTTACACAATCATGCTTATCGTTCCATTTAGAAGTTTTTTGCATTATTTAATTGTGTTTATATGACCTGTAATTCCATACCCGAACCTAGGGTTTCGTAGCTTGTGTTTTTGGGTTTTTTATTTTCAGGCAAAATTGATGCAATCAATGGGCATAGACATGATCAGTG